TCTGTGTCTGTGTCTGTCTGTGTCTGTGTCTGTTTCTGTGTCTGTCTGTGTCTGTGTCTCTGTGTGTGTGCGTGTGTGTGTATATATATATATACACACACACACACATTTTGGGAGATGTACATGTATATCGTATATGGTATAGGTATATAGTTGATATATTGCGACAGTCTACTTAAAATATGTTTATACGCATGTATATACATAGAGACTCGTAGAGAGAGAGAGAGAGAGAGAGAGAGAGAGAGCGAGAGCGAGAGGGAGAGGGAGAGCGAGAGGGAGAGGGAGAGGGAGAGGGAGAGGGAGCCAGAGCGAGAGCCCTGGAAAGACAGCTCCAAGGCTGGCGCCAGGATCCTGGGGGCAGGAGATCGGCGGCGGACAGTCTGCGTGCACTGGAACACAAGGCCTGAGGCAGTCGGGCTAGAACTAAGATATAGAGGCCTTAACAAATAGAATAGGGTTTTGGGGTATATTATGCTATAAATGCAATTAATAAGGAGCCAGCCAAAAATAATATAGGCAATGAGCAATGCCCCTATATTACTTTAAGGGGCCCGTCACGGGATCGACAGATGCTTTTCTAAGGAGCCTACAAGAACTTACAAGGTTTTTTGGGGGTTAGTTTAGGAGTCAGGGGGTCCAGTTGCAGGGTTTAGGTGTTAGGGTTAACGGTTAGGGTTTGGGGTTTTAGGGTTTAGGGTTTAGGGCTTTGGGTTTAGTTTAGGGTTTGGGGTTTAGGTTTTGCGGGTTTGGCGGTTCATACATGCATGTGCTGCAGCTGGTCCTTCACCTTCACCGTCGTCATGATGAACCCGAGTCTGACTAATCCCTAAACCCTAAACCCAAAGCCCTACTACTATCTGGTGCCCTAAGCCCTAAACCCTAAACCCTTCACCCCTAAACCCCTAAACCCCTAAACACAGAACCCCTGAACCCCTAAACCCTGAAACCCTGAACCCTGAAACCCTACACCCCTAAACCCTAAACCCCAAAAGCCCTGAAGCCCTAAACCCTAAACCCCCAAACCCTACTAAACTTGCCTAAACCCCTAAACCCCAAAACCCCCAGATCCTAAACCCTAAACCGCTAAGCCCCTGAACCCTGAACCCTTAACCCTAAACCCGTGAACCCCATAACCCTAAACCCGTGAACCCCTTAACCCTAAACCCTAAACCCCTAAACCCCCAAACCCTAAACCCCTGAACCCCCAAACCCCTAAACCCTAAACCCCTATACCCCGCAATCCTAAGCCGTGCGGATGCGAAGCTCCACGGCTCATGCACTGGACATGTGGGAGCTGAAGACGCCTTGAACTTTTCGGGCTTGCAAACGCCCACAAACCAGAAGGGGTATTTAAGGTTTAGGGTTTAGGGGGTTTAGTGCTGGTTTAGGGGCGCCCTGCACAGAAAGACACAAACAAACCCCTGTATCAGACCCCGGCATCGATATCGGCCCCTTCTAAATCCTCAAACCTCTTTCCTGACTGCGTACAGAATTTCATAGAATCGATCCCTGACAGCGCCCCTACCGGACGGTTACAGGTTATAAGGCACTGATCAGAATGCCTATGGAGCCCTTGTAGAACCCCTGAACAAGCCTGACCCGGTCTGTTATGCCATTATCCGAGCAGCACAGGCTCTGCGTGCACTGGAACACAAGGCCTGAGGTGGTCGGTTTAGCGTCCAATTAATGTTGGGGCCTTAGTTGATTAACATATTTTTTGGGGGGTAGATTATACTATAATTAAGAAAGGAACCCCACAAATAGCGTAGGTAATCTCTCAGGCCCCCTATATTAAGGGGAGCTTCGTGAGATCAACGGGTGCTTCATCAAGGGTTTTGCAAGGGCTTACCTGTGACCCCAAACCCTACAAAATCGTAGGTTATGACCCGAAACCTAAACCGTATATTTAGAGGGTAGAACCCATAAACCGATAGGTTTTGGGATCCCCAAGTAGGGGTTGAAGGTCTACAGGTTTTGGGTTTATAACCCCCCAGCCCTACACTCAGTGTACTTACGGGATTCCGACCATAAAGTTGAAGGTTCGCTGTTTCCTGCGATCTTAAGGGTTGCCACGTAGGGGCGGTCAAGGCGATTAAGCTTAGGGGCTTTGGGTTTCGGGTTAAGGACAGCCCTATCACACCCTGTAAAATACCCTAAACCTTGCATTAGTTTTGAAATGGGCCTGCCTCATATAAGAGCACTGCCCTAAACCCTAATCCCTAAACCCTGAACCCAAAACCCCCTCTTCAACCTCCATCGAACCCTTGTCTGTCATATCCGAGAAGCACAGGCTCTGCGTGCACAGGAACACAAGGCCTGAGTGATCTTGGGATTCCTTAACCGGGCCCTCTAAGTATCGGCTTTCTCCAAGGGTGTCTATCAGGGCTTCCGGCATTAAGGGTTGCCAGCGTCATTTCCGTTGAGGGTTTCGGGTTCAGGATTTACGGGAGCGTCGCCATGATCCGGGCTCTGATACGATTGATATAATGCAACATGCTGTTTTTCTTCTGGTACCACTTCTCCATGTCATCACAGGTATACATGCTACTAGTGTCGCTGGCGGGGTGGTGCTGATATGCTTATTATTGCTAGCGGCGCTGCTCGCAGCACGAGGCTTGTGAACGGATACCAGTTTTCGTGATTCGAAATCAACGGTCCATCTTCTGAAGTCGAGGAAGCTGCATGGCGTGTGCAGCTGAGGCCCAGCCATTTTGGGGTGTATCGGGTTTGGGCTTGTGGGCTTCGGGGTTAGGGCGTTGAGGTGTAGGTTTTAGGGCCTGGGCTTTGATCCCTACACGTTTAGGTTTTGGGGTTTATAGGGTTTAGGGTTTAGGGGCCTTTGAAGGGTGATCTGGATACCGATGTCGAACTAAATCCTGCTCTACCCTGAAGTGCCCGAACGAACGGGAAATATGCCATGTTTCCGATTTTGGGGGCCTCAAGAAAGCACATAAGCAAAACTTAGGGATATGCCATATAAACCCCTAGTGTAATGAAGCCCAATAAAGTAGGGATATCCCTATAAACATGCTTATGCTTATGTCCTTTTGGGGTCCCCTAAACCCTAAACCCTAAACTCTAAACCGATGATGGGTAACGCATTGTTTATGTCCACCAACACGGCGAGCAGCGCTGGTGTCGGAGTCTCCATCACCAGCTCATCCTGCAACTCAAAACTACCAAAAGTCTACTATAAGGATTTAGGGTTTAGGGGCCTTGATAATATAGGGTTTTGGGTTTCAAGCTTTAACTAGAAAAGGGTTTTGGGGCCCATTATACTATGATTACAATGAGGAACCTCCAAAACTAAACCCTAAACCCTAAACCCTAAACCCTAAACCCTAAAACTGTATTGGTAAATATTTGAGCCCTCACGTTTAAGGCTAGGCTTTCGGGATTCTGGGGTTCTGGGGTTCTGGGGTTTAGGGTTTAGGGTTTAGGGTTTTAGGGTTTAGGGTTTAGGGTTTAGGGTTTAGGGTTTAGGGTTTAGGGTCTGAGGTTCAGATTTCAGATTCAGGACGCAGAATCCTATTCTATTTGTTACGGCCGCGGCCCCTGTCAATAACCCGCTACATCCCGTACGAAACCCTGATAGAGCCCTTGTAGGAGCATATCACAGTTCAGACCGTGAAAGCGGTTCAGGGTTTAGGGTTTCCCCTCACCCCTCCACATGAAACCAAAAACCTATTCTAATCGTACTAATCCCCAGCCCCAAACACCTAAACCCTATGAGCTCCTAAACCTCTAAACTCTAAACCCCTACAGAACTGCATCTCTCTCCTAAGCCCCTCTTATGGCAGCTGAGCACTCACGAAGCTGGTCCTGGTGGTGCACCGGGATGGCAGCGCCTTAACTCTTACAGACAGTGGGCTCGAAGCGTTTAGGGCTTTGGGTGCAAAGGTTTTTGGGTTTGAAGAGCTTCTGGAAGCGCTTTTGTAGTCTGCTTTGTTGATTGCATGTTTATCGGGCTTTCGTGAGCCTGTGTGAACTCGTGTACAGGCAACAGCGCAGTTATGCTGTTGTCCTTTAGCGAAGCAACCTGGTCTGATAAGGAGGTTCCATGTCGGGGCCTGAATAATTAAAATAGGGTGTTGGGGCCCATTATGCTATCATTATAATAAGGAACCCCAAAACCCTATCTAATTATTAAGGCCCCTACATTAATTCAGGATGTACAGCCAGGTGGCCAGAAGCCACGAAGATGAGGGCGATGAGGGATGCAATGGCTGCCACGGCCTGGGTCCCGGTCGGGACAACTTGGTGCAGGGGTTGTTTAGGGTTTAGGGTTTAGGGTTTAGGGTTTAGGGTTACTGCCTGTGTCTCTCCAAGATTATTGAAAGGGCGCTGGGTTTATTAAACAGAGGTTCGCTTTGGAGTCTTGACAGGCTTCTTTTGCTCCTACAAAACAAAAATGCCTGGAGTGATCTATACTTGCTGGGCCCTAAACCCTCAAACCCGAACCCCAAACCCTAAACCCTCAACCCTGAACCCCAAACCCTAAACCCTAGAACGTGAACCCTGAACCCCAAGCCCTACATGTTCATGGTTCAGGGTTCCAGGCTCAGGGCCTAAGGGCTAAAGCTCTTGCAAGTTCAGCAGTATCAAAGCGTTTAGGTCAAGTGTTTAAGGTTTTACAGGCTGATGCGTTGAATTAGGGGACGAGGGCTTACAAGGGCTTACCAGGGCCTAGCAACCTGAACCCCAAACCTTAAACACTAAACTTTAGGACATTCTGGTTTTCTTCGGGTGCATAATGCAAGCTGTCTTAAATCCTGCTCCGCAAAAGCATCCAACTCAAACACGCTGTTTTGTTTAGGGTTTATGGGCAGGAGTTTAGGGTTTTGGGGTTTAGGGTTTTGGGGTTTTGGGGTTTAGGGGCTTAGGGTTTTAGGGCTTCGGGGTTTAAGGGTTAGTTAAGGCTAGGGTTTGACTCGACCAAGCTGCCACAGAAGCTAGGCACCAACCGCCACATGGCACCAGTGACTTGTTCTGACCTTGGGCGGTTCCCTAAACCCTAAACCCTAAACCCTAAACCCTAAACCCTAAACCCTAAACCCGGTTGTTGTCAGAGCACGGTCTGGGCCTTTACTGAAGGCGGAAGCCTAATGCAGGGGCCTTAGGAGTTGGAATAGGGTTTTGGGGCACATTATATTATTTAGGGTTTAGGGTTTAGGGTTTAGGGTTTAGGGTTTAGGGTTTAGGGATTATACTTAATAAGGAGCCCCCAAAAATAGTATAGGTAACTATTCCCCTATATTCAACCCAGAAGTAGGATTTAGGGTTCAGAGACTTATCCTGCCTTTGTAGTAACTTGTAAAGCACAAACTGAACACCACAAGGATAAGAGCGATATCAACAACCCTACACCCTAAACCCTCGAAGTAAGATCCCAAAGCCTTTAATCCCAAACCTCGGGTCCTGAACCCCAAGCCCTGAGACTGTTTAGGGTTTAGAGCCTTGTAATCCTAGATCCGCTCCAAGGCTCCTCCCGAACCAAAGAAACCACAAGCTCAAGTCTATTCCTAAACAGCCTTCAAGGTTGATAAGGGCTTCGGGCTTAGGGTTTAGGGTTTAGGGTTTAGGGTTTAGGGTGTAGGGTTTATCGAGTTGTGGGGTTTGGGCCTGAGGGTTTTAAGGTCTAGGTCAAGTCCTCAACCCGAAAACCTCGAAGAAGTGTAGACTGAAAATTGTTTAGGGAGCTACTGGCAGAAACGCATATGAGTAGTTCTCTAAGTTAGGGTCCCTTTGGGGGTCTTCTTTGAAAGCGCGCCGCACTCTTTAGGGGACTTAAGAAGGACCCTCATTTAGAACACTGCCCATATGTAACACGACCCTAAAAAACGGCGCAAGAGATCGAACTCGACATCTTACGGCCTCAGGGCTCAAGGGCTTAGGGGCTTAGGGCTTAGGGTTTAGGGTTTAGGGTTGGATCGGGGTAAAGGAATAAGCAAACTCTACACCTACAACCGACAACCCCAAACCCAAAACCCCGAAGTAGCGTCTTCTAGGGTTCACAAACCCTAAAACTACATCCCCAAGACCTAGACCTTGAACTGCGGCTGCAGATGCGCTCCCCCCCAAGTAAACCCTAAACCTCACATTCTACGCCTTAAGTTGTGGATGAGGAGCTATCCTCACTCGGCTTCTCGTTCTCGTGCGCCACGAGGCTGCGGAAGTCCTCTTCCTGCTCCTCCTCACTTGGCTGGTCGTACTTGACCTCAAGGAGGGCGTAAACCCTAAACCCTAAACTCTAAGCCCTAAACCCTTTTACAGGGCTTGCGGAGGTTCGGAGTTTGGGCTTCGGGGTTCTAGGATGTCACGGGAGGATGTTGTGACGGTGTTTAGGGTTTAGGGTTGAGGGTTCGTGCGGGATTTATATCGCAGGATGCTTTTGGTTTGAGGGTCTTACTTGGTTAAGGGTTTCAGGATTAAGAGGGTCGGGGCGTTAGGGCTAATTTAGCAGGTGTGAGTGTACACAGGAGTTTCGGAATATGAAGCCCTGAAACCCTAAACCCTAAAGCGTTATCGGGTATCCCACTATCTGTTTCAAAATGAAGCGTGCCCTTGTTTGTATCATTCAACTCTACTACTGGGAGACCTAGAAAACCAAAAACAACTAAACCCTCACAGAACTATAGAACCCTTAACAGATCCCTTTGAGCACCTGGGTTTTCGGAACTAGGGCTGGCACGCTAAACCCTAAACTCAAAAACCTCACCCCGGGTGGGTTTAAGCCTTACGGCATTCGAGGCTGAGGCAGGCCGGGTAGAGAAGCCTGGACTCAACAACACTTGGGATTCTGTAAACCCTAAACCCTAAACCCCCAAAACCCTAAACCCCTAAACCCTAGACTCCTAAACCCATAAGCCCCCAAACCCCAAACCTAAACCCTACATCCTAAACCCTGGGCTCAATGTCGGGCCAGGTGTGGGAATAGGATGATATACGTGGCCTAGCGTGTAGTCCTAAACCCTAAACCCTAGCTTACTTCAAGAGCCAAGTTGCATGCAGCTCCCAAAGCAGCGCATAGTCTTGCACGTGTATAAAGTCCGGTGTCCTGCGTTCGTATGTTTGGCGGCTTCGTAAGGTTCGGTTAGATCGCATGCTGCTTGAGACTTCGACTTCCAGAGTTTGTGTCAGGGTTTAGGGTTTAGGGTTTAGGGTTTAGGGTTTAGGATTTAGGGTTTAGGGTTTAGGGTTTAGGGTTTAGGGTTACATTTCAAGTAGTTGAAGCATATCCGTCATCAGTTGAAAGGCACCCTATGCATGCAGGCTTTTCAGTTTGGAGTTTGGGGTTAGGGATTCAGGAATTAGGGTTCAGGGCTTAGGCTTAGGTTTAGTACTTTATCGGATTTGGTGAGGTCCCAGCTATACCCTAAACCCTAGGGCCTTAAACGTTCAGGTGTTTGGGTTTCAGGGCAGGAAGAGGGTCTTAGACTCCACACTCCAAAACCAATCAACCCGACTTAGACTGTGATGCCCCACCACTTCTCTAGATCGTAGGTTTGGGATTAAGAGGGTTTAGGGTTTAGGAGTTTGGAGTTTAGGGCTTGGGTTTAGGAAGTTTATGGTACATAGTTTTCTGCATTCCCGACTGTGACCTAAAAGTTAAGTACCCCCCAAAAAGGTGGTGTATAACCCTTCGGGTCCTTCAGGGAAGCCTTAAATGAACCTAAACCCTAAACCCTATTGCTAAACCCTAAACTCTAAAGAGCTTGCAAAGGGCTTTCTCAAAAAGGCCTATCTGAGAGCCTCGGGGGAAGTGTATTGCTGATTCTTCAAGTCCTCAAACCCTTAACCTCTCTTCGTCAATAACCGAGTCCCAAAAAGTTTGAGATAACGCCAAAAAGTTTAAAGTTCTCCCATTGGCTAAGTAAGTAACCCTGGGGTTATAGACTTTAGGGTTTTGGATTAAGGGCTCAGGGTTTAAGCCTACATCCCAAATCCTAGGCCCCAGAACCGATACCAAATATTCAACACCAGATGGACGCCCTAAACACGAAAAGGCTACAGCGCACGTGATGTCCGGATGCAGATGGCATCGGAGAGGGTCTGCGCCAACATGTCGTTGCTCTCCCAGATCCTCCGTCGATTTGTCGTGCTTACCCAGATTTCCGGAACCCTCGGGGATTTACCCTAAACCCTAAACTTAGGGTTTAGGGTTTAGGGTTTATCAACCCTAAACCCGGTCTAGAGTCCAGGGTTCAGGGTTTAGCATCAGGTGAGTCTAGGGGAAGTCGGGTCAGTTTGGCATTCGGGGGTTGAATGCCTCAAGGCTCTATGCATGTCCTGAAGCACCGGGCCCGAAACTCTCAATGGGGACGTGAAGTCTCAAGGGACTTCTTAGTATACAGTTGTAGGAAAGGAAACGTTCGTTGCAGCGAGAGTTGCACCCTTGTGGCTGGTTTGGAGCCCAGCGAAGGATAAATGACCTCCTGAACCCGGGGCAACAATCCAAATGGACGCCTTACAGGATCCGATAGCATAACGCCGCATCAAACAAATCTCGGTAGAGCCAGTTAGCATTACTATCGCCTTTTCATTCAACCCCGAATTCGAGACCCTAAACCCTAAACCCTAAACCCTAAACCCTAAACCCTAAACCCCTAAACCCTCAACCCTAGAATTCAATGTCAGTCTCAGCCAAGCGACAGATTCAGCCATGTCCTGGCAAACTGGAGTCGTCGGAACTCCTCCGGGGCGTTGGGTTGAGGGCTCTTTTGCATCATTCCTTTAAGAGGGTTTAGGGGTTTAGGGTTTAGGGTTTAGGGTTTAGGAGGGCTCTTTTGCATGATTCCTTTAAACGGGTTCTACCACGGCTTTACAATCTGTTTCAAAGAATTCTCTGGGAGCTTGGGGTCTGAGGGTTTTGTATGTGCTGATGGGTTCCACAAAGGTCTGACAGGATTCCTACATCTCTCTATACATATGTGTATATATATATATATATATCATATGTATGGCTTAATCTTCTGATTACCAAACCAATCCTTCAAACGCCGTTGCACAAGGATCCCAATCACAATCCTGTGCAGGCAATTGGGGTTTCTCAGTCCTGGGTCCCGGATTGGAGGGTTTCTGGTTTAGGGTTTGGGGTCCAGGGTTTAGGGTCTAGGGTTTAGGATCCAGGGGTTTGGGTTTGGGGTCTAGAGTCTAGGGCTTAGTTTTAGGGTTTAGGGTTTAGGGTGCAGGGTTTAGGGTGTGTCTAACTGTCTGTCACGTTGTCTGTTCGCTCAGGGCTCGGGGACTTAGGGCTGAGGAGTTTATGCGTGACGCGCGGTGGGCTACGTCGTATCCTAAGTCGCATACGTATTCTTTTCAATCCAGAAAGAGAAACCCGCCTGGTACTATGTAAACCCGAAACTCTAAACCATCATGTAGCAATGTGGCTATGTAGGATCCTTTTGGGTTGGGGGCACTTCAAAGCAGTGTGAGTCACCAAACTCCCCTGCACCCGCCTTTGTCTGCCAGTGGAAGCCCGGCATCGTCGGGCGTAGCAACGCCACCTTGATGCTGGATCTGGGGTGTTAGGCCTTAGGTTAAGGTTAAACCCTAAACCCTAAACCCTAAAGCCTAAACCCTGACAATAAACCGTGACATCTTCAGTCAAGGAGACTTGTTCAAGTCATCACCGCTAGCCTCATCACTGAAGCATCATCATTGCCATCATCAACAGCATATGACATCGTATTTGTCCTCCACGTCATCATCATCACCATCATCATCAAAATCGTCATCATCATCGTCATCATCCTCATCATCATCATGATCATCATCATCCTCATCCGTCCCTGGACCCCAAAAGCTAAGCCATAACACAGGCAGGGCACCAAGCTCAGCACTTGCAAAGACAAGTCGGCACCCAGAAGAGACAAGGCCCGGCGCAGACCGAAGGAGCCCCCGGAGGAGCCTGGCAACGGGGACGCTGAGGACTTAGGGCTTAGGGTTTAGGGTTTAAGAGTTTGGGGTTTAGGGTTGAGGGTTTTAGAATTTATTCGAGGGTTTAGGATTTAGTGTTTTAGGGTTTAGGGTTTAGGAGTTTGGGGCTTAAGGTTTAGGAGCTTAAGGTAGGCTGCAAGGCTTAGGGTTGGCGGGCCCCTCTACAGCCCATAAGACCTTGAGAAATGCTCTCATCGCAACCGTATGAGACCCCAAGAGATGCCCATTAGAGTTCTGAAGGCCCCTGGTTCAGGGTTTCGGGTTTAGGGGTTCATGCGGGTTTAGGGTTTAGGGGTTAATTGGGGTTTAGGGTTTAGGGTTTGGGGGTTCATTGGGGTTTAGGGTTTAGGGGTTAATTAGGGTTTAGGGTTTACGGGTTCATTGGGGTTTAGGGTTTAGGGGTTAATTAGGGCTTATAGGGTTTAGGGGTTCATTGGGGTTTAGGGTTTTGGGGGTTACATTTGGATCAATCTTTATGCTTTGTTGCGAGGCTTCGTGCCGGTGATGAACTTCGTTTAGCAACCCGGTAGGCCCCCTTCCTTAGGGGTTCCTTTAAGGGCTCTATGTGGATTGTAAGGGTTGCTGAAAGGATTTACGGTTCAGTAGGCTTTAGGGCGTGGGGCCGTTACGGATGTCGGGCTTAGCATGCTGCGAGTTTAAAGGTTTAGGATGGTTTGGGGCATGGGGCTTAGGTTTAAAGCTCCGGGCTTAAATAGGAGTTCGCCCTGTAGGAAACAAACCCTACACCCTAAACCCTAATCTATACTTTTTGATGTCGTGATTCGTACGTCGGCGCGGGTGTCAGACGAAGTGCTGAGTGCATCCGGCCTCCCAACTGGGGACACCCTTCCAGACACGCTTCCAATCAACAGGTTTGGGGAATTGAACGACAAAATCTGCGAACCCCTGACGGCCCAACTGCACATCAGTCATGATATGCACATATACACATATAAACATATATATATATATATATGTAGACACATGTATATATATATATATACACATGTTTATTCATGTCTTACATACATACTCCTGCAACGACTAACCACTACAGTCACTACATTCCCAAACCAAAAAATCAGTGTTGGGATAGGTATTGGAAGTCAAGCCCTTGAAGCCCCTTACGATCATCCTACACCCTGGCCTACTTAGAAATACCGAACACAAAGTTCTTGAGGTTTAGGGTTTAGGGTTTAGGGTTTAGGGTCAAAGTTCCTCAGGTTTAAGGTTTAGGTGTCAAGGCCCTTCTATAAACCTCAAACCCTCAACCCCAACTTCGCGCCTACAAGGCCCAGGGACACAGCCAGGATCGCACCAAGCAAGGCACCTTGCCGGCGGGGGCTTAGGCTTGATTTCGTTGGGTCTCGGTATAGGGTTTAGGTTTAGGGTCTTGGGATTAGGGTTTGGGCCCGTCTCCTTAAGAAGGTCATGTACGCTCGCATGAAGAAGACGTTTGACAAGAAGTTCATGCGTTTCTACTTTCCGTGCACCCTTCAATGGAGGGCATCCTGAACATCGTAATGGCAGCCTTGACCAAGGTTGGTGGCCAGGAGAAATATGGCACAGCTCCGAAGTCTAGCTTGGAGCGGGACATTCAGGCTGAGCTTGACGCTTTGAACTAGGTGTGGGTCCCTTTATCACCTGCCCGCTACGGTGCTACAGGCGTTTGTGAGTGTTCTGGTGGGAGCTGTATTGTAGTGCGGCGGTTCTGACTGCAAGGGCCGTGCTTTCTTTTCTCAGTGAAAGACTGAGCAGGGGTCGCAAGCTTTTGACGCTTGTGGCCCTGAGCTATGTATTTCATTGTTTCCCGGAGCGGGTGCGTTCGCGGTTCTGTGAGATCTTTTGCTCTGGATGCGGGGGATACCGACTGATTCAACAAGTTTCTGTGGGCTTGGCAAGCGATATGTATGCATATGTGTGTTTTTGTAATACATGCATGCATGTATGTGTAATTATACATATATGTATGTATGTATGTATGTATGTATGTATGTCTATATATATATATATATGTATATGTATATACACACATCCATGCGTATGTGGGGCCTATGGAGCTTGTATGCTTTGCTCGGGCTTTGAACTGAGAATTTCGGTCTTTGAGCTATCCATACGGTGCACACGGAAACTCTGCCACCCTTCCCGGCCTGGGTTTGGTTTACCGTTGTCGGAAAGATCCTTTATCAATGGAGGGACCAACTGGGACTACAGTACACTGTTTAGGGTTTAGGGATGTTTAGGGTTTAGGGTTTAGGGAGGTCCCAGCTGAAAGGGGCACCTGCCTGATGGATGGCTATTTCAGGCACCGCTACCATGTGCAAAACATGTCAACAACATCAAGCCATCAAGCCCTACAATGCCCTGTCAAAATCCATGCAAACCGTCGATAAAACCACTCTCAAAGCAACACCCTTTCTAAAGCAGCAAAAGCCGCACAAACTCTATCAAGCCTCATGAAAATGACCTGATAGAGTCTGCCAGGCCACCCGTGTAGAACGGCAGAATCGTTGCCAAAGTGCGGTAGAAGCGGTCGTGGCCCAACTTCCTAGAGGCTTCAGGAGTCTAAAAGCTTCACGGCTTGCTCAGGTGAATCTCCATCAACCCTAAACCCTAAACCCTAAACCCTAAAACCTAACACCTAAATTGGGGAAGGCCAGCGCTCGAAATTTCACCACTGTAGGTGTACGGTTTAAGGATGTTTAGGGTATAGGGTGTGGGGTTTAGGGTTTCAATGTTTCACGCTGCTTTAACATGTACCTCGTTGTCAGCATGGCTACTGCCATGCCGTGTCTCTGCCAAACACTCCACACCAAACCTCGAACCTAGCAATGTGCGTTCACCCCTATACTGCAAACCGAAAACTCAGACCCCAATAGAAACCTTACACACCCCGCTTCCACTCTGTCCCAGATCTAAACCCGTTTGCCCTAAATCTTGAAAAACCGAAACCCCGAAAATAGTCTCTAGATGTCTCTAGAATGTAGGTGGTAAGCAAGACCCTGATAGAAACCCCAAAATGACCCGTAGTGTGGAAGCTTTGTAGAACCTTAAACGCCCTGATGCCCTTCATTCCGAAGTGAAGTTTCGTTTCTTTTCCGGGTTTAGGGTTTAGGGTTTAGGGTTTAGGGTTTAGGGTTTGAACCTGCAACGACCTACCAGCTCAACCCTTATACGCCAATCTTATACCGAAACCCTGAATTCTAGAATATGCGAGCTGGATTTCGGTACTCTGAACCCTAAGCTCTAAACCCTAAATCCTAAACCCACTCCTAAAATCCTAAACAGATCTTAGACTAGAGTTTAGGGTTTATGGGGTTGTTTGTGGGGTTTAGGGTTTAGGGTTTAGCCCCTATGCAACTCCTGAAACATGAGTTGGGGGGGGGGGGTAGGGCAGTACAGCTGCCTCTCTATAGATAGTTTAGGGCTTATGGACAGCTTCGGGTTCAGGGCTTAGGGCTCAAACCCCAAGTTAAACACATATAGCTCAAAATACTGAGGCCTGTCATCCTTCAACAAATCTCGAACCCGTGCTGACAAAATAAACCTCGGGTAGAAGCCTTGTAAAGTCCGGATCGTTCAATCAGGTAAGGCCTCCCAACCCTAAACCCTAAACCCNNACCCTAAACCCTGAACCCCTAAGCCAATCCCCAAGGGTCCAAATAGTCCTTTTTTATTGGCTTTAGGGTTCCAAAAAAGCCTCCAAAGTCCTGAGATGGTGGATTTTCGGACCCTCAGGGAATGAATCCCTAAACCCTAAACCACCCTAA